AGTTGTAGATATAACCATGATGATTTATCTGAGAATGTATGCTTGGCACTTTTGGGAGCAAATTTGCAAGTCTAACTAGTTTCTTTATACTTGATTTGTTACTGGGTCCTAACATCTTCCTCAGGGCAAAGGGGTCAGAAGGCACACTGTCAATAACTCTGGGAGTTCAATAAAAGAGATTCAGCTGACTCATTTATTTAACAATTGATAAAACCTTATATACCCTCCAGCACTCAGGTGCTCTGAACCATTGACATCACATGGTTGCCCCTCATTGGCTAGGTATGATCACAACCACTGACAGCACTAGGCAGACTCCGGGTTGGCTCTTCTTGGCCTGGTCGACCTTAGCTTTCTACAACTTCTATTCTTTGTGTCTTATTTTTTTTCTAAAAATAGATTCTTTTCTCATAATATATCCTACTTACTGTTTCCCTTCCCTCTGCTCCTCTGAGTTTTTTCCCTGCTCCCCTACAACCAGATGCATTTACATTCTGTTTCCCATTAGAAAACACAAAAAAGTTTCTATGGTATGACAAAAATGAAATAAAATAAAATATAAAATATAAAACAAAAACAGAATTATTGGAATAGTAAAAAACAAACAAAGAGAAGGAAAAGACCACAGAAGCAGTACAAAACACAGATAAAGAAGCCTAGACCCACTCATTCACACAATCAGGTATCTCATAAAAGCACAAAACTGGAGGCTATCATATGTGTACCCAAATCCTGTAAGGGTAAAACATAAAAGTGAGAAAAACAAATAAAAATAATACTAAAAGTAAAAGCATAAAAAATTAAACTAAAGATAAATGTAAAGAGAGGTCAGGAAAAAAAATTCTGAGACATGAACCTCCAACGATATTGAATATGCTTTCTTTTGAAATCATCTGCTAGACATACAGCTGACCTGACCCTTTACCATGATATGTTTCCCTAGTGATATTTCCTTGGAAAAACTAAATATTTTATTTGTTTGTAAATGGTTATCAGTCAGAGATAGATTTGGGGGTAAGGAAAGAACAGGTTTCTACTTCTTATTTTAGCTCTAAGATTTCTTCTGATTCAGACTTTTAAATATCCTGTGTACGTTGCCTGAGTCTCTGTGATTTCATATATGAAAGCACCTATTGTGCTTAGAGCTCTTGATTCCTTGGTGTTGTCCTCCATCACCCTGATTCTTACACTCTTTCTGATTGAAATTGGCAAATAATGGGATAACCAGAAACCCAAACTAAACATTTCTTTTTAGCAAATTAAGCTTCCAGAACTGAAATGTAATAATGTAACTAAATTCTTGAGTTTATAGGCCAGAGGTTCCCATGGGGACCACAAACAACCCAGGCTGTTGAATAGACTACAGGTTCTTCTCCACGAACTTACAGTGAGGCCCTGTTGCTGAAAACAATACCTGTATATTAATTGAACATGCAGAAGTTGAAGTAGAACCTACATAGAACCTTTAACCCAACTGTCAATTTGTCTTGGTACTGAAGTTATTCATATGCCACACAAAGGAAAATATAAATACCAACCCAGGTACAAATCTTTCTAAAACAGTATCTTACCTGGGAGATATGCCAGTGCAGTAGTTTTACAAAGCTTATTGGAGTCACCAATCAGATTCTGATTTTACTGAAGGCCAATTTTATAAGATGAAACCCATACCCAACAATGCTTGTGTGGTCAAGAAGTTGAGACTAGATAGTCCAGGAACCTAAGGGGAACTCCAAATGCTATGGTTCCACTTAAGAAACATAATGATAATGTAATTGCTAATGACATTGTTTTAAACAGTAGATAGATGAATTCCTTATTCAACCACCAGTAGAGAAGCTTCCTTCTTCAGTATATGTGAATAAATAAAAAGACCACAGCCAGGCACATGCAGAAAGTAATGAAATTCCTAATTGGAATGTTTCCAGAAAAAAACAAATAAAAAACGTCTCCTACCTTCAGGGTTCAGGGAGTCTACTTAGTTAATGAACAATTTATCTCTTTAAGTACAATAATAAAGGCCAAACAAAAATATCATATACTTCAGCACAAGTACTTAATCTTGCACATATTCTGGAAATAAATTATTCATAATCGAGGCCATGATCTACGTATGGGTATTTTATTTCTAGTCTCTTTCATTTTAATTTTACAAATAACAATAAAACAAATATTATTTGTCTCAGACCAAGGTGTTTTATAGCAAATGACCAATGAAATAAATGGTGGATTGTATTTCTTAGTGAGTGTATATTTACAGTCTGATTTAATATTTTATAGAACAGGAGGGAAATTTATCATGTTTACTTTAAGCAAATTATATCCATATTGTAATTATGAATATATTAGAAAGCCTTCATAATTTCATTTACTCCAATTATTAAGAATCGGGCCACATATAGATAAATAGGAAAGCAAAAGGCCACTTTAAAAACCACTTTATGCTTTTCTACTATATTGTATCTAATAGAATATGAACATTATTTTAAATATTTAGCTTAATATGCATAACAAAATGCAAATAATAATAAATGTTATTGAACCTAAATATTGGGAGGAAAATTAAACTATAGTTACAGTTGACTTTGCTTAAGAACAGTCAGGCAGCTTGACTTCAGCAGTTAACATTTACAGATTATGAACTCAACAGGAGTTTACACCAATCTTTCAGAACCCTGCTGTATTCCTGGATGAGTCTCTCCTTATGTTGGAATAAAATTCATTCTTATCCAATGTATGACATTAATCAAACAGTAGTGTTCTTCAGACCCTTCACCCTCCTCTTGTTTATTACTTCTGATTTTTCACCCTGACCCAGTTCCTACAAAAGAGGCCAAAACTGCAAAAGTTCCACCTCAGAGAGAAGTTTGAAATTTTTCTATAGCTGAATTTTTACAAAGCACAATTTTTGATTTTTAAAATAACTTTTATAAAATTATTTTTTTGTTGAGATGTATCATCAGTAACGAATTCTATCTTAAAGTTTGTAGCAGAGATTCTTAAATTGTATACATTCATGATCTCTTTTACATGAGCTAATTCTTTTCAGAATTTTGTCTTTTATTTTTGTGTTTATTCATTTTTGCAAAATCTAAAGTATATAATTGACAAAATAACACAATAAAGCAATTAATATTACAATATTATATGAAAATTTTTGCTGAAACAGCTTTTGGTACACAATTAAATTACTATTTATTTAATATACAAACGTATTCAGAGCTTAATATAAACATTACCTGGAGAATTACTGTAGGAGGAAGAATCATTTTAACCTTTTTCAGATTGATATTTTTCTTTTCTATTTTAAAGTAAAAACATTCAAATATTAAATGGCAGAGTTATTTTTAGAACAGCTTTACATGTAGTTGTACATTATGTTTTAATTCCAATCGAAAGTTTATTTATTTATTTTAATTTCATTTCCTTATTTTTTTAAGAATTTCAAGTCTTTCACTTTAACTGAAAAATTAAAATCATCCATTTAACATAGAACAATCAAAAGACAATCTAATTTGAAATTTACATGCTGAAGAACAGTAGTGAGGAAGTACTATCCTTTAGCTTCCATAATTAAGTATCTATGTATTTAATAAAAATAATGCACAACAAAGGATTATATATAAAATGGTCTTTAACCTGATTTAACTTGCATACAGCATCTCCTGTTCATGTAACTGGTGATGTTTGACATGATGACATGCACAGTGTTCCGTGAATATGTTGTGTATTTATAGATAAGCCTGTAATGAAACTATGCGTTGATACACAAGAGAGAACTGGAGGCAACAAGTGGAAATGTTTATCCATTTGATTAAAAATTAATTTTTGTTCATTACTTGTTCACTAAGCTTTTATTGTTGCCAAGCTTTGGGATCTCTCTTTCAGTTATGCAATGCCAAAGGCATTATCCTTAGTTTAAGAAGGTGACTAAATCTTATTCTTCTAGTATGATTCTTTAAAAGTCACATTAGGAAGATTTCAGAATGATATTAAAAAAAATATTTTCCTACTACTTAATAGATATTTCTTGTGAAGTGATATGAGCCAAATGCAAATAATTAATTATACTGATTACCTCTTTGCCCACAATCTAGTTAAAATTATAAGACCTTTAGAAACAATGTGAATTTGAACCCCAAGATTGTGTGTAGCCTTTTCCTCTACAATAAAGTATTCTCTCATAGAGGGAGGAGAGAGGCCAATAACTCAGAAGTCTCAGGAAGCTCCTGAATTTAGAATAGTCATACAGTCAATCTCTAAACATATATAAACAACAGCAACAGCTGGAGAGAGAGAAATCTCCAGTTTCCAGAGCTTCCTGGAAGTTAGGGAAACAGCTTCAGGAATCCTAGTGTTATCAGTCATGTTAGGACAGGCTACCTGCTGTTGCAGTTAAGTTTTATTCACATGAGACTAAGTGTTTCACTAATCTGGATTTGGGTAGAATAATTTTTTTTTAATTTCTCAGTGATTTGTTATCTAGTGTAAATATTCACTTTTTCAAGATTGAACCAGAGAAGTTACATAAGAGCATATTACCTTTTAAATGCAAGCTACTTTCACCTTCCACTGCAATGACTACAGCACCCGGTTACCTAACTGCGGAAGAGTGCAGGACAGGCTCCAGGGATAAAACTAGGCTGTAGCTTCTCTCTGGACAGGCCACAGCATGATTCCTCCCTGACCTCCTCCTAAAGCAGACCCTTGTAAACAAAGGACTAAGAAAACTGTAATTACTACCTCTCAACTCTCCTGGGAAGAGGAGCCGTCCCGTCCCTCCCTGTGGACCAAGAACCTGCACCCTAGACGTGTTACTCTGACTAGATTCTATGAAGGGAGTGGGTACAGGGGATAAAATACTAAGACAAAATGGGAGTCACGGGTCCCCATCTGCAGCTACAACTTAAACTTAAGTTCCTAAACATGGAGTCAGTGGCAGGTGCTGGGAAGGGTGCAGGAGGCAGAAACAAGCAGGGAGAAGGGTCTTGGGGTAGAAGTCTGTCTGCTTGCCTTCACTTCTTGGCCTTGCCCTGCGCGGCCACAGCTTCCAAGGCATTCCGCACAGTCTTTTCATCTCCCAGGAACTGCATGGGTTTCACGGGCTTAAAGTTCTTGTCCAATTCATAGACAATGGGAATGCCAGTTGGCAGGTTCACCTCCATGATGGCCTGTTCTGAACGATCCCCCGAAGGCTGTTGCCATGGGCCACAATCAGGACTCTCTTCCCCTCTTTGATCTGGGGAACAATCTCTTCATTCCAGAAGGGCAGTGCTCTGGCAATGGTGTCCTTCAGGCTCTCACAGGAAGGTAGCTGGTCCTCAGAAAGGTCTGCGTACCTGCGATCCTTACTGATGTTGCTGTAGAAGGGATGACCAGGCTCCATTGGCGGTGGTGGGACATCGAAAGATCGCCTCCAGATCTTTACCTGTGCCTCACTATGCTTAGCTGCAGTTTGTGCTTTATTGAGACCAGTCAGAACCCCATAATGTCGCTCATTGAGGTGCCAGGTCCTGACCACTGGCAGCCACATCTGGTCAATGGCATCCAGGACTGTCCAAAGGGTTTGATTTACTGTCTTCTGCACGGAGGTGAAGAAGATGTCGAATTCATAGCCAGCATCTCGCAACGCCTGTCCGCTGCACTTTGCCTCCTCGTGGCCCACCGGGCTCAGGTCGGCGTCGTACCAGCCGCTGCAGTGGTTCTCCAGGTTCAGGCGCTCTTGCCGTGCCCCATGAGGACTAGCTTGTACGCAGCCATGGCGATAGGCAAGGGGATGCAGCAGAGACTGAGGCTCGCTGAGATTCCCCAGGTTCACCTTCTTATTTAGCTTTTCTAGGATCACTAATTATAGGCTCAAAGACCTTTAACTATGGCTAGAATCCACTTTTGAGTGAGTACATACCATATTCCTCTTTTTGGGTCTGGCTTACTTCACTCAGTAAAGCGTTTTCTATTTCCATCTATTTGCATGCAAAATTCAAGATGTCATTGTTTTTAACCGCTGAGTAAAACTCTAATGTGTATATGCTCCACACCTTTTTTAACCATTCTTCTATTGAGGGGCACCTAGGTTGTTTCCAGGTTCTGGCTATTACAAATAGTGCTGCTATGAACATAGCTGAACATGAACTACCTTCTTCTCTGACCCTAAAGGAGCTGTGGCCCCAGAAGGTTGGGATCAATCCTGTCAAGTCTATGTGTTACATTAACTTTTACAAAAACAAAAAGAAGTACATATATATTTATCAGCACACAAAGCCCTCTGAGGTTTCTAGGGGTTATTGAAATAGTCCTATGTGGTCAGCAGAAAATAAGCCATTCCTCATATCAAGTGGGATAAACTCCTTGTCCTCAGGAGACAGGAGTGTCACTTACTATGTGTTAGGATCACTCTGCCTTGTCTTGTAGAGGTGAAGCGCCCCTTGATCATGTCCAGGGTTTTGTCTTTTGCTGTCTGAATCATGTTCCAGCTGCTTGACCCTACCATGTGGGTTCAGAACTTGTTTTGGGCATACTAAATCTTCTTTTCCAGATCAGTATAATAAAGGAGTGATATGCAATAAAAAATAAATAAACAAGAAGATGAACCTGAAGAAAATCATATGGTTATCCTCCTGGATGTTGGAAGTAGACAAGATTGCCAGAACCTTCATCTGGCGATGGATGGAGATAGAGACAGAGACACATATTGGAACACTGGACTTGACTCCCTAGGTCCAAATGAGAAGCAGAAGGAGGGAGAACGTGAACAAGAAAGGCAGGACCAAAGGGAAACTTCATCTGACGATAGATGGAGATAGAGACGGAGACCCACATTGGAGCACCGGACTGAGCCCCGCAAGGTCCAAATGAGGAACAGAAGGAGGGAGACCATGAAAAAGGAAATCAGGACCACGAGGGGTGCGTTCACCCTCTGATACAAGCTCACCAAGACCAGCTGGACTGGGACTGAATGAGCATGTGATCAAACCGGAGTCTCTGAATGTGGCTGACATGTGGGCTGACTGAGAAGCCATTTACAATGGCACTGGATCTTGTTTTGTCTGCATGTACTGGCTTTTTAGGATCCTAGTCTGTTTGGATGCTCACCTTCCTTGACCTGGAGGGAGGGAGGAGGAACTTGAACTTCCCACAGGGCAGGAAACCCTGACTACTCTTAGGACTGGAGAGGGAGGAGGAGAGGGAGTGGGGGAGGGAGGAGAGGGAGTGGGGGGAATGGGAGGGTATGGGGAGGAAGGGAGGAAGTGGAAATTTTTATAAACAAATAAATAAATAAATTTGAAAAAAGAGCATATTATCAATAAGTTTGAATTTTTCCAGAAATAATGAAGTAATATAGATAATAAAATCAGTAAAAAATCTAATAAAGCTATTATTCATAAACTGTGTAGGAAATATTTTCCCATAATAAGAGCAAGTGGACCCATGCATATGAGGAAATCTTCTTGACCAAGATACAAATGATTTTTAATAGAGGAATAAAGTTAACTTTAAAAACTGGTTATTAACAATCACTTCTAGTAATTTAATGCTCTGATTTGGGCATACACAGATCTTGTCCATAATATCACTACTGAGTTAAAATGTCATTATGAAAATGGAACTTTTACATGAAGTTTCTGTCCTAGCAGAGGAGATACTAGAACAGGAAGGGTAATTTTTTAATATAAAATATTATTTCCTGGTAATTCAACTTTTGTTCAGGAATATTTGACTAGCCAAATTTGTAATGTATGGGAAAAATAAAAGAACACAAGTTGAGTCAGAAAGGAAGAAAGGTAACCTGGGAATACTTGTGAACAGGAAGGTAAATATTCAAAAATACATTGCAGTAAATCCTGAGAACTCATTAAATATTTTTAAACTTTAGACCTTATTATATAAGAATTTAGTACTGTATGTGAAGTACCACAACCATATCCAGCCTCTTCTCTGTCCTTCTAACTTCTATTCAAAACCCATCTCCATTTGAATTTTATACTTATACACACACATATATATACAAATATACACATGTATGTAATATATACATATATACAACACGCATATACATATGTGTATATTACATATGTATGTAACATGTATATATTTATTACACACACACACAAACAATGCACACACTGAATCTCATTAATGTTGCTGTTACGCAGTGGTGATTATAGCTTCCTGTGAAGTAACCAGTGGCCATGGGCCTGCAAAGAAAAGGGTCTCCTCTTCCCTTAGCTATTATCAGCTAGCAATAGCTAGTCACCTAAGATTTGGGCTGTCAGAAAACTTCTCCCATTGTGCTACACTATTAGCTAGCATGAGCTTATGCAGGACTTGTCGATGTTATGACTGCTGTGATTTCCTTAGTTCAAAATGTTTGTGTGTTATTAAAAGAGTATTTCAGAGCTCTCCTTCACATCCTTAAGCTCTTTCATTCTTTGTAAAATTTTCTTTTTGAGAATGTTATGTGTGCATATGGTTTTTAAGTCATTTCCTCATTTGCTGTGTTCTCTGAGCTAAATTTTAAGGATCAAAATGTGATCTTTATGTACTGTATTTAGCATTCTGTCTATGTGACAAATATGTAAATAAAAATTTATAACAATGAAGAATTTCCTAAGGCCTATAGTTTCTGAGAGATGATAGGGTATGTTCTATGTCCTCTTCATGTGATCACTCTAAACAGCTGCATTCCATGTTCTGTGTAATTCCCTAAACTTCCTACCATTTTACAAAGCTGTCACAGGTTTAACAGAATATATGAAAATTAAAGCTACAAAATCCCATGCACTCTTTGTATGATTCCAAAAACATATCTGAAGACAGAGAAGAAAGATTTTTAAATGATGGGAATTAGAAATGTGAAGTACTACATTTTTGTGATGGCAAAAGCTCTGAAGTAATGAAGTCATCGTAACTGGTTGCCTGCCCTAGCCTTACTCAATACAGAGCCAGTCAAAAGCATTGTCCCATGTGAAAGAACTTTCTCTCTTCTTACCCCACCCAACCCCCACCCCCCGTGCTCCCAACTTTTGTCTGGCAATCTTGTCTACTTCTAATATCCAGGAGGATAACTATATGATTTTCTTCAGGTTCACCTTCTTATTTAGCTTCTGTAGGATCATGAATTATAGGCTCAATGTCCTTTATTTATGGCTAGAATCCACTTATGAGTGAGTCCATACTATATTCATCTTTTTGGGTCTGGGTTATCTCACTCAAGAAAGTGATTTCTATTTCCATCCATTTGCATGGAAAATTCAAGATGTCATTGTTTTTTTTACCTCTGAGTAAAACTCTAAAGTGTATATGTGCCACATCCTTTATCCATTCTTCTATTGAGGGGCATCTAGGTTGTTTCCAGGTTCTGGCTGTTACAAATAGTGACACTATGAACATAGTTGAACAAATGCTTTTGTAGTATGATTGAGCATCTCTTGGGTATATTCCCAAGAGTGGAATTGCTGGGTCCTGAGGTAGGTTGAATCCCAGTTTCCTGAAAAACTGCCACACTGATTTCCAAAGTGGTTGCACAAGTCTGCATTCCCACCAACAATAAATTAGTGTTCCCCTTACTCTACATCCCTTCCAACATAGACTATCATTGGTGTTTTTTATTTTACTTATTCTGACAAGTGTAAGATGATATCTCAAAATTGTTTTGATTTGCATTTCCCTGCTCGCTAAGGAGGTTGAGCATGACTTTAAGTGTCTTTTGGCCATTTGAACTTCTTCAGTTGAGAATTCTCTGTTCAGTTCAGAGCACCACTTTTTAATTGAGTTAATTAGAATTTTAATATCTAGTTTCTTGAGTTCTTTATGTATTTTGGAGATCAGACTGATGCGGGGTTGGTGAAGATCTTCTCCAAATCAGTAGGTTGCCTTCTTGTCTTAATGACAGTATCCTTTGCTTTACAGAAGGGAGAAGGAGAGATTGGAGAGAGCTTGGGGTAATGGGATCGTTAGGATGGAATAAGGGTGGATGTGGGAGCAGGGAAGTAGATATCTTAATTAAGGGAGCCATTTTAGGGTTGGCAAGAGACTTGACTCTAGAGGGGTTCCCAGGTGTCCAAGGAGATGTCCCCAGCTTGTTCCTTGGGCAGCTGAGGAAAGGGCGCCTGAACTGACCCTATCCTATAGCCACACTGATGAATATCTTGCATATCACCATAGAACTTTCACCAGGCAATGGATGGAGATAGAGACAGAAACTCACATTGGAGCACTGGACTGAGCTCCCAAGGTCCAAATGAGGAGCAGAAGGAGGAAGAACATGAGCAAGGAAGTCAGGATTGCAAGGGGTGCGTCCACCCACTGAGACGGTGGGATTGATCTAATGGGAGCTCACCAAGGCCAGCCAGCTGATGGAGCCTGTGATCAAACCAGACTCTCTGAATGTGGCTGACAATGAGGACTGACTGAGGAGCCAAGGACAATGGCACTGGGTTTTGATTTTTCTTCATGGACTGACTTTGTGGGAGCCTAGTCTGTTTGGATGCTCACCTTCCTAGGCCTGGATTGAGGGGGAAGGACCTTGGACTTCCCATGGGGCAGGGAACCCTGACTGCTCTTAGGACTGGAGAGGGTGGGGAGGGGAGTAGGGGGAGGTGGAGGGAAGTGGGAAGAGCTGAAAATTTTTAATAAATAAATAAATAAACAAATAAATAAATGAACTTTCTCTGGGCTTAGTTCTTTCCTGGGATGTACTGGTTATATAAGAGTGATGGAGGAAGGAAAAAAATTGTCTCTTGTTGTGAATCCACAGGTGA